GAAAGAGGGGGTAAGAAAGGGTTACTAGCTGGAAGCCAGCGGAGAGGTATCAAACCCTGTCCTAGCAGAAGCCTGATTCATAAGACCCCCAGGGAAGGGAAAGCTCTTCTGTGGACAAGCAGGGGCAGGTGAGCAGCACAACACTGCTCCAGCTCTCACAGGTTCTCGGTGGTGTTGAACAGCAGCAGGGAGCTGAGGGAGCTGATATTCCTGGGGAGGCTGCCAAGACCTTCTTCTGCATCATCCTCCTGGTGAATTTTGGTGCTCACACACACAGGGAAGTACTTAAGCTTCTCCTGCAAGAAGACAGATAACGGGTGGTAAACACAATACAGCCACAGCTACTGAGACAGCTGTCCCCAGCCACCACAACCCACACTGCTGGATCCACTGCTTGGTCCAGGAACCCTACTGCTCCCTCTCCATCTCCCTTGGAGCAAAGAAGCACACAGCCAACAATGCAACCTCACACTCGTAACAAATCAGACTCATGGCATGTACTTTTGGTGCCATGGATGGGTCGTACTGAACAGGTGTTGGAGCCACCAAAATAAAACAACCACTCAGACTCTACAGCCAGAGGCAGGGATCAAGCACCAGAGTCTAAAAGGCATTTGTTACAGTCAACTATGAGACATTTCCATGCAGGCAGAGTCCTCCAAACATCTCTATTACCTCCCCTCTGCTGCCTTCAGTTGATGTTTTAAGAGCTGTGATCCCACTGGTGTGGTATGCAGGGAAGGTAAAGGAAAAGAGGTTAGGAAAAAGCAGAGTGCCTGCACTAGGTAAGAGAGCAGGCAGAAGGGAGTGTGCAGGGTGGAACGTGTGCCAGATGGTTCTGCAAAGCCTGAGGGATTTGCAGGAGTTTTCAACTCTAATGAACTGAAATCTCTTCTCTCTCAGTTCTAAAACTTCATGCATAATATATAGAGCTCCCTTTAGAAAAGGACTTATTACATCTGAACCTCTTGACTTTTATAGAGCACAGGAATTGCCATCCCGGATCAGAGCAGTGTTGCAGATAGCGTGACAGTGCCCGCTGCCACATGCTCTGGGGAGATGCAGCTCAGTGCCCACAGCACACTGCTGTAGAGGGAGGAAAGGCATCAGTTCCTGAACCCAGAGACAGCCTGAGATGGACAAACCTCCACCCCAGAGCCCTCCCCACACCTTTCCTCAGCCCCTTCACAATTCCTGTTTTTATCTTACAAACTAGGGCAAGCAGCAGCCTGGCAGCTACAAGGTGGTAGGTGTTCAAACCAGACAAAACCAGAGCGCTACCCACGACAGTTTGTTAATAACTGCCCACACTCCTCTGGTTTTCTTCTGTCACCAGAAAATGACCACTTCAGATATTGTCCACAGCATCCTGCTGCCTCACTACTTACAGCATCCTTGCTCTATCCCATCCTCCTAGTCCTTCTTCCCTCCTTACACTTGTTTGGGGGAAATGGAGATCACCATGGGTTCAGTTTTAAGATTGCATCTCCGCAACATGAGCAATGCCTGCTGGCTGAAATTTCAGTCTTGAATTTGGTAGCCAGAAATCCTAGGAAATGGCTTAGTCACAGCTCAGTTAATCAACTAAGAGTTTGTATGATGCTCTGGGTCTATAAAATGGGAAAAACCTGTGAGGTTTTGATTTAATCCATCCCCCCACCCCCAAAGAACCCATTCCAACTTGTGAAAAATACACTGAAACAAACATCCTGAATTTTTACAGAGGCAAGTAGGCAAAAATAAACAAACTCTTATTTAGAAGCTGTAGAAGGAGAGGTTCAAAAATAAAGGTTCTTTTGATCATTAATATTAATTTCCCAATGTTTAATTTTTTAAGCATGAGGGAGTGCTGATGCTTTCGCTAGAACTGTTCACACACACTTAGCCCTCAAGTCATATATATATTTTTTTAATTCTCTCTTTGTAGATTTCAATTAGCACTGGAAGTATGTGCGTCACTTCAAGGGCCTAGTGAGAAACCAACCGTTACCTAAATTTACTTGTAAGTCTCATCTAAGGCAGTTATAAAAGCACTAAGCATGAGTATTACTCGGAAATGTGAGGCTCTTTGTAATCCTTTCATTTAAATGCCACCAAAAACCTGGTCTTAGTCAAGTACCTAGATCTGGTTTGAAATTTAGAATAGTTACACACTGTCATGTCCTACAACTGTGAATTCCACAAGTTAACACACCATTTAAAACATCGGTTTTCTTATAGGGACATTAAGGCCTTAAGCCAAAGGTTTGGCAGCCTTGACATACTGAAAGCATGGGGGGCACTGGAATGCTGGGGTTTGGCACCTGGCAGGATCACACTCCTAAGGACGCTGCAATTCCAGGCACTTTTCTTCCTAAATATATAAAGTATACATAAAAGTATATATATATATGAAGTATATATAAAGTCACCCTGGTGCTTAAGTTTAATTCAGCGTGCACTATTACAAAGGAAATTGGTCTGATACAACAGAAATCCCATTCCCTCCACGCCACGGGAGTGCTGAGGCTTGCTCGAAAACCACTTGAAGATGGGTGAATGGCAAACCCCTGGTTTAGCCTCCCCATGCCCATATGGACTCAGAGAGAGGCAGAATTCACAGACACACCAAGTTACTGACAGTTCTGAAGCCCAGCAAGACTGCTCCAGCAGCGGACTGCAGCTTTCGCTTGGACCTCTTCCCAAGCTCAGGCACAGCATGTCTGAGATTGATACGCCATCCTACCAGCCTGTTTTCCAGCCTCCTGAGGGGCACCTGCAGGACCCAGACTCTGCTCCCACCACAAAGGCAGTGCCCAGTGCCTGAGTAGCCCCACAGGGCTGCAGCCAACTCACTGCTGAGCCCTGCCTGGCTGCTACCACAGCAATGTGCAAAGCAAGTGACATTCCAGGCTTACCACAAGCACCTTGTTTCTGGCACTCTTATCCATCAGTGCTTACCTTACTGACCTAAACAGTGAGTTTTCTCTTGCTTGGGATGTGGAGGGGGAAAGGAGGATTTCCCAGGAGGGAAGCATTTTTAAATAAACTGCAGAAGCATGCACATTTCCAACTCAGCTGGTTTCCCCCCAGAGCACAAGCCCTAAATGCTGAGCACAGGCTGCCTCCACTTACCCTCAAACTGACAAAAGCAGAGCTTGCTTTCCTGGTGAAGCGTGTGTGAGTGAAGTTAGCAAAGGCCACTGCAACTGCTCCCAGCAAAGAGGCCCTCATTAGAAGTGAAAACAGGCAGCGAGCCTCTGCTGAAAGCCCTGAATAATTGAGGAGGGCACAAATGCAAACATTAGACTCCCCTCTGCCACATTTCATTACTGCAAGGTACGTCAGGCTCCGTGCTCAGCTCTGGCCAAGAAGGGACTGTTCCCCTGGAACGTGGTCAGAGCTTGGCCATTCTGCGACCTGCTCAGCACACCAGATGCTCCTAGCACAGGAGCAGCCCATCATTCATCAGCTGACAGCCAACAGCATTCCCCCACCCCACAGAAGAGCTGCAGGAGCTAGGGTGTATGAGCTTGGCAAAGTAACAAGACCACTGCATGAGGTAGGGCCAGCAAAGCCAGAGAAAGATCAGTAGCCCCAAAGGAGGAGGAAGAAATGGGTCACAGGAGGGGAGGAACAAATACAAACATCCCTAGGGGCCTGCACCAGTCTGTCCCTCTGCTGAAGCAGCCCTGGTCACGAAGGGCAGTATGTGGTAATGCACAGAGACTGCCTGGAACAGGGAAGAGGTGGCATGAGGGGCTGTGGGGAGGGATGTGCAGGGCCTCCTGGA